GCTAGCAATATACTTGTGATATTAGGCAAGTGTTACTTTAATACAGTTTTAGCCTAGAAGAGATCATTCACCTAAAAGTAAAAATTATCTTGAGCCAGATTTAAAGAAATTTGTTGCATGTCAATATGATTTTAAAAGGTCTAGTTACAGCTTACCATTTTGATTTTCCATTCTCTATACGTCTCTGCAGTGAGCTACTCTGGCTCCTCTAAAACTATTTACTCTGCTTTTTCTTTGGTGAAGAAAATGTAGCAAAAAGAAAAAGTTCTAACCACAGAGTATCTTGGGATGGTTTCTGTGAAGCTTTTCAGCCAGCAGTTGCTGAAACGGTTTATATTCACCACTCTAATAACACGAGGCAGGTTTAGATGAATTTTGAGATGGAAAGTTTAATCATACATTTCTTCACTCCTTTGATAATAAGAAGAGAGATTTGGTTTGCGAATGCTCAGGTTTCAATGGAAAATATTATCTCCAGACTCCACGGCTGAGCACTAGCAAATGTGTTGTATTTTCTTGATTTATGTCAGAAAAACTTCTTTATTCACTCAACACAGAAAAAAACCCCGCTTTTATTATTTTTTCTTGTTTATTTTGTTCTTTCTGATACTTTCAAGCAAAATGTTTGTTTGGATTTTTTTCCAACTGTAGTAGTTTCTGCATTTGAGGAAAACAGTATGCTAAACTTGGTTTGGATGAGCTGAGTATTGACAGTGTCCTGATATACGCTGTGATGAATACCACTCTCTTGTTCTATGGAACGACAACTGACTATTGCATAAGGCATTAGTCATATGCATGTTAGAGGCATTTTTATTAGATTTCATTTTTACTGATATGTCTTTTAAATATTTGTATAAGTATTTGTAGGTTTGTCACTTCTTTCATGAAAAGGGGAACTGGAACAGTTTTTAAATGCCTCTCTATTACTTTAAGCAATTTAACTGTTAATATTATTCTCTTAATATAATAGTAAAGTCGACATCTCAAATATTTGTGTGTTAAATCAGGCTTCTATATAAATGCCCATCAGAAACGTGGCTAGTAGTTGCTGACATATACCTTATGCTGAATTCTCTGCATTTCCAGTTACTTATATTAAGGTTGGAACAATTAGTACAGGTAGAGGCCTGCCAAAGAAATCAGTAGAGTGTATTTGCACTTGCTCTGTGACAGAGTAAGGAATCATCATTTACAAGATTCCTGCTGAAAGTGCTCTGATAGGTACAGGTGGCTGCATGGTCGTTGATTTTGCAAGCTGAAATTGGTGAAATAGTGGAGTTGGGACTTTGGAGCAGCTGGCTGTCAAGTGAGGAAGTCATGACAAAGGCTCTCATTGAGAACTGGAGTTATAGCCTGGAAGCGAGAGGACACCGGTTGTGAGTTGAAGCTGGTGGAGGGGAGCATACCTACTAAGTATAATCCCTAGAGATCAAGTTTTTGAAGGTGAAAAAGGCCTTTTTCACCCTGGACTAGGACCTTTCTATGAGAACAGCGTGGAGGTTAAATGAGATGGTGAATAGACTTATATTTTTAATAATTTTCCTCATATTACATTAACTTCTGAATATCTCGGCAGATAATTCATTAAATTAATCTATCATGTATTATCAGTTGATTCAGCCTGCTGTTTATAATTCATTCATATAACTGACTGATGTTCCCTGGAAAGAAGAAAGGTTACTTAATACCTCTTGTCCTTAGGTATTGAATATAATTTTTTTGATGAATAATTTTGCGGTTTTAAAATTAAAGATGGCTTTTGGCAGTAGATGGAACTCAGTTGCTGGAATTCTCTTTCAGACCTGAAGAAGTAGTTGTATGTCAAACTTGGGGTTTTTTTTCCCCAATACATACTGTTAGTCTAATAAAGTACACTGCATCTCCATACAAGTCTCTTATCACCTGAGTGTAACAGTTAGAAGCAGAGATAAGAAGCTGGTAAACATTGATGTCAGCATTGTTATTTAATTTATCTTTATAGATAAAATGTAAAACTGACCGTCTTTTACATTTGCTGGTTTGGGTGCTATGCTAAAGCATTTCACAACTATGAAGGAAATGTACCAGAAAATACAATGTTGTTTTATGTCTAAAAAAAATCTATCAAAGGTCACTATCTAGTTTTACTGTCTTTGGGATTTAGCTTGTACTTCTAATCAGGGAAATCTAGGCAATGGAAATGATGCTTATTGCTGAACATAGGATTAAATGACAATCATTAACTTGGAAAGCAGGTGCTTACAATCCAGCCCTCCTGCTAGAATTGTGTAACAGATATATTTTGGTTTGGGTTTGTTTTTGGTTGGTTTGGTTTTTTACAGGTATGAACAACTTTGATTTATTTTTGTTGATTTAAAGTTATTAATGGGAACTTCTGAGAAGTAATTTGATTGTGAATGTATTCTAGAGTATGTATACAGATTTTTTCTATTTACTCTGTGGGAGTATTCATGTTTTAATTTCCCATGGCTGAAAATTAAGACGGGATAGGCCAAAATGAGTTGTACTTAATTCAGAGATTCAAAGATTACAAAGTAATGAACCATTGGGATTATTTTGTCTGATGACATGAGTAACATAGACTGAGAACTACCAGAACACATGGCTCGTTTTAAGCTAGGTCATGTTGACTGTAATATTACCTTTGGATAAGTTATGCTTTTTAGATTTAGTTCTCGTTTTCATTACCTGTTACTATATCTCCAGCTGATATTTCCGAGGCCACTTCATTGTGTGCTGTGACCACGTCTGTTCAGAATTACTGCCTGGCAAGGTGACCCCACCTTACTGTGAGGTCCCTTGTTTCTAGTAGCCTTCAGTTTGACTGTATAGAACCACACATTGCTAGTGTGCATCCACATAGCCAGGGTTGTTCAGTGCCAGGGACTTGGGTGGCTTGTAACAGGTGTTAACAGGCCTGTGATTTATCTGTCAAAACAAGGTAAATTTGGATTTGTTGCCTTTTTTTTTTTCAGGAGCTATACACACCCAGTGATGGATACAGCTCTAATTTCCACTGTATCTTCCATTTTTATTAATCTAGATTGTCAGCAATTTTCCATCTGCCTCAGTTTACAACAGCTTGATTCCACCCACATTCTGATTTCTGCAAAAGGTGTAGGTTCCAGTTCAGGAAAATGTTTAACTTCACGTGTACCTCTTGTACACTTAGAAAGTTAGGAGGAATGTAGCCACCAGTGCATCATCTGTGCTTGAGCTCTAGAGCTCTGTCAATTGATAGATTTTATCTATCAGATTTTTTTCCATAAGACATTATAAAAGATAAAGAAACCACCTGTATATAATTATATATGGTATTTTTCAGAATGGTGTGATAGCCATCTTTACTTGCAACTTCCACAGCTGAATGGAGCTTTTTCAATAATCATAAAATATAAATTAAAAAGATAATAAGTTTTCTTCTGCTGATTGTGGACTTCGTTAGTGTTCAGTGAATATTCTAGGTGTCCTTTTCAAATAATGCTCAGGAAAAAAAATTGGCTACATATCCCATTCACTTGAATTCAAAGTGAATTTGCAACTGCAACTCTGTGTGGTCTGTTGCAGGACTTTTTAACTATCTGGTAGGAAGAACAGCATTAAGGTTTAAATTTCAAAGCAAACCCTTAGATAAATTCTGATCTGATTATTCAGTTAATGTCATTTTAGAACACGTTTTTCATCTACACTACCTTTGAGGGATATTTTAATGAAAACTGTCTGGCTTGAAAGTTGTTAGCTGCAGTGATAGCTTAAAAAAACCTGAAAGGCATCATTATAGGTAGTGTAAAATATCATTTAGCATAGTTTAAAAGCAAGTGAACAGAAGTTCTTCAGGATTCTTGACTAAAGTTCTGAGCAGTGGAAAAATGAGAGTTTTCAGCAGGTTGAAAAATTGGTTGGAATTTAGGGTGGATATCTCATGGCTGTGAGATAAACCATGGTATTTTACAGAAGTGCAGTTGTTTTTATAAATTTCCATTGCTTTGCAGCTTAGAAATTTTGGGGTTGGGGCAGGTGGTGACCTTTAGCTTTATGGTAAAGGTTTAGGGTACAATTGCTCAAATAATTTTAAGCTGTTTAGGCACTGCAGACCTACTCAGACTACTTTCAGATTTGAAGACTTTATTTTTTTCTCTCTTTTTTGAAACTATGTAAGGTTGGTAAATTCTGAGTTATAGGTGATCTGCTGGTAACTAATTTTACTTGATAGCATCTTGTTTATTGGAAGGATGCAGAGATGGGAAACTTGTAGCAGTATGGTCTGATTCTCAATCTCTTAGTTGCTGAGTAATTTTTTTCTTTTAGTTGGATGTATTTGTGACATGAATAATGATGATTCATGGTTACAGTATTTTATCTGAAATTGGAAAGTTTGCTTAGTTGTTTAAATGGTTAAAATTTAACTATGACAGAAAAAACAAACTCCAACCCAAATCTTTTTGTTTGAAATACCTTTCTCTGTGTTCTTTAGTGTGTAATGCGCATTTAGGGTTCATGTTTCTTTCCTTCCTTTCCCTGAAGGGAGCTTTATGTCTAGAGCAGGTTTATGTATCTGATGAACCATAGTTTGATGTCTGAAATTAGAGAAGTGCAACTGTTTTCATACCTTAATACAGAGCTGTTGTCAGGTTATAGGAGGTTGGTGTATGAAAACAAGTGTCATTTGTTTGTCACAAGAGTGACAGACTAGAAGTGAGTCTTACAGTAAAGACAAGAAGGAAAAAAAGAGGTATAAAGTAATGAGATTTGTATTGATTTCAATAATACTGCTTCTGTAGTGAAAGTATTATAGTATAGAATGGAGAAGGAGGACAAATTCGGAGGTTAACTCTAAAAGTAAGGAAAAAGTTTGACGTGGAAACAGAAGTTTTCATTAGATTGACTTTATAGGCGTCTTTTAAATACATTTTTTCTTACACAAAATAGCACATCATTACATAAATTTCTAATGAACCTTTCAAAGATAGCTCAACGTTTTTCTTTCTTTGTTCTAGTTGCATTAAAATCTTCTAACTCTACAAGACCAGAAAGAAATGGCATTCAGGAAAACTGTAGAACAGCAAAGTGTGGAGAAGGGATGCAGATCCTGGAAGGAGAACTCCTACTGCAGGTATTTTTTGCAATGGGTATATTGTACAAAGATTTACATTAAAAAAACTATTGTATGTAGCATACTATATTCACTGATGAGATTTGAAAAGTAAGTTTTCTTATTGTAAAATCCTTTTCTCGTTTTCTTTAAGGTAATATTATACAGCTCTTGCACTTTTTCTGGTCGTGATGTAGAGTGGTGTTAGAATATGGGCTCCACTTCAATGTTTCCAAGTAATTTATTGGAGGTTTCTTTCCCAGCTCTTTACATCTATTGTTAATAAAGATATTAATATAAAGTAATGGTCTTCGTAAGGGTCAGATAAGTTAGTAATTGACTGTAAATTTGGTGACTAATTGTCTAAAAGAAACAATTTCTCTTTAAAAGACCTCAGGGTTGCTGAAATATCTAGCTTTCTTGGTAGTTTGAAAGAACTCAGTGGTCCATAGTGTAGGTTCAGGACAAAATTTAAAAAACACCTCAACTTTCAATAACTTTCAATATTATGAACTAATAGAAAGTATTAATAAAAAAGAGTATTGGTGATTTTCTTTTTTTTTTCTTAAATTCTTTAGCCTGTTTTGATGTCCTAGAGTGTCAAAACATATGAATAATGATATAATACTAGATCCAGATTAAACTTGGGAAATTACTAATAAAAGTATTCCAATGTTCTAATTAGTTTCACACAATAGGTTTTACTGTGACCTGCAGCTTCATTTGAAAAATGCTGATAATCTGTCTTCTTCCCAGGTTTCCCACTGATGTATCTATTAGAAATGGCAAATCATTGTCAGAGCCAATTGTTTGCTTAGAGCAAAATTAATTTCAGTGTTCAAAGAGCAGAAATGAAAGCAAGTTCTAAGAATCCCACAAAACAATTACTTTAAATTAATACTAGTTGAAAATTGTTTTCTAACCAACTAAAAAACTAGGACATGTATGTAATTTTCTAACCTTAATAAAGTATAATGAAGAACAGTTATGGAATTACTGCAGGTGATTCTTAAACAAGAATTATCTAAAAAGGTAAAGTATAAGGTTTATATTGGAGGCATCTATTTTATGTGAAATATAGGGGGGGTTCTATGACTTCCAAGTGGAAGTGATATGAGGGAACTGTTTTTCAGTATGAAAATTAAATGGATAATATACTTATTTTACTGTAAATTCTGCCCATCTTGTGAAGTAAGTAAATTAACTGAATTTTCTAAAGGAGTTTGTTTTGTAAATATTTTATATATGTGAAAAAAACCAGAGTTATCTTAGATAATGTAAAAACTCATGAGAGATGAAAGTGGGAATTTTCTAGAAGATACTGGGAATCAGTAAGATGTAAATATTGATAAAATCCTTCCCTTAAAGTATAATTGATGAATTTTTGGGGGGTTTTTTGCAAAGGTGGTATGAACACACATCATATAGTTTGTATTTTTTTCTATTTGTTCATCAGATGTTTTCTCTTGTTTCCTAACAAACAGAAAATTGTCTTAAATTGCCAACATAGCAACTGCCTTACCAATTCAATATACTGTGGAAGTAGAGATCAAATACACAAATGTGCCTTCCTTAAAATCAAAATTATGTCCTTCATAATTTTTAAAATTATTTCCAATTCTTATTTTAAATACATGATCTATTAAGGTCTAAGCAAGTTTATGATAAAAAGTGCAAGGCAAATGACGACCTCTAAGAAATTTTTAGAACTTCTCACCAGTAATGAACAGTTTCGTAATTACCTTTGTATTAGGAGTATTGAGAGCATTTTTTAGAGGCACAAGTTTTATCTTCAGTGCTCCAGAGTGCTTTCTGAGAAATTTCACTATTTCTTTAAAAATAATTATTTTTGGATTGCATTTTGCAAAAGCCTCCATCAGAACTTACCTCCCATTTATTGATATATCCAGATACATGCATTTTACAGTATTTTTGGCTTACAGAATGCATATGATTTTTTTAGTAGGAATCCTGGTTCAAGGTGAACTGTGTACCAGAGCCACAGTAAAATGTGGTTGCAATCCAGGTACAGGAGCTGTACGTAGCTTTATATGACACAGACCAGAATAACCAATTTTAACGTTTGAGACAGAGTTAGATACTGGGCAGCTTGCAGACTTTTTATATCCATCACTTGAGGCAAAATGCCCTGCAGAGTAGGTCAGCAGAGGACACAAGCACCTGCCATTGCGGCATTCTGCTCTCTTGAAATTACTGCAAACTTCAGCAAACCCAAGGATTCTATGTAACAAAGACAGATTTCTTGGATTGGCTATGCTATTTAATTTCAAATGATTATTAAGGCTTTTTTAGCTCATTCTTTATTAATGTAAAATTCACTAAACTTGTATAAGGAGTTTTTACAGAGCTCACAACTCTGTGAGATTAGATTAAGATATGTCTACACATTAAATAGGAGCGGTTCACAGCATTTAAAGGCCAGTCATTTAATCAGATATTTAACTTCTATATTATTAAGTTGTTATAGTAAGATATAGCATATCCTTCACTTATTTAACATTTTCTGTGTTACAATTATTTTGCATAATAAAGTTTTTAAAAAATGTTTTGAGTATGCTGGCCAAATTTCCCTTTGAATGCAGTTGAGGAAATTAAGTGGCACAATGTACTTAATCCAGCCCCTTGAGACAGCCTTTTGTTAAATCTTGACTGAAATCCATAGAAGTAAATCGGCACCTTTCAGATGAGCTGCCAAGTCACAAATTTACTGTTTGCTATCACAACAATTGCCATGAACCATATTGATTGGGAGTTCAGATAAATGCCCTTTGCGTGACTTTGAGTGTGGAGCCGCCTAGTCTGCTGCTTCATGGAGGGGGAAATCTCTTCAAAAACATTGTTTACTTGCAACAGTCCACTTGTGCAGAGGTTTTCTATTTTAAGTAAGCTATAAAGTGTTTTCTTGGACTATATGGGTGATCTTGATAGCTTGATTTCCTGTTCACAGAGGCCTGCCTGCACTATAAATAGAGTGGATTTTGGGATGGGGTTGTGGCATGGCTCTTGTTTGTGCTGGTGGGCAGCTGGGGGTACCAAAGGGCTGAACCACGCAAGCATTGTGAACTGTGGTTGATATTAGAAAAACTTATAGTTGTTCATACTGTTGTCCCTCATCCACAGTCAAAAGTATTTAAGTCATCAACAGGGTTTGGCTTCTCCCCTGAATTTTCCAAAAGAACAGTTTTATTTTTTTTTCCATTAGAGCTAGTTTTCTTCATTGTAGCAGGTAGAGAGAAGCAATGAAGAATCCTTCTGTTTATGCTGTTAGATAATGATATGGTTTTGCATGCCTCACATTTTATTGGGAGAGTAGAGTATAGGCAGACTTACAGCCACAATAATTGTCTGGAATTTTGTCTGTGAAGGTGACAGATTGGTGTGTTTCCTCCCCAGGCATTAAATGGGTTTGTCTTAGTTGTTACAGCAGATGCTCTGGTTTTTTACGTCTCTTCTACCATCCAAGACTACTTGGGCTTCCAACAAGTAAGTTTATTTTTTCCTCTTTTTTTGCAGAGGTTTTGCTTACTTTCAGAGAACATCAGTGTTTGTATTTAGGGTCTGATAGTTTGTGTAATAAAAATCTCAGTTAGGTTCTTTGGGTTGGATCACTTTGAAACCATATTACTTTTCTATCAGCTTACATAGCCAGGATGTCAGGCCAAGCACAACAGGAATATAATTTCCAAAGTTGAGTTAGGCAAGATAGGAAGTTTTCACACTTAATTAGTCTTCACTGTAACAACTGTTTGAAATTTATACTGTGGTGTTACCCAGTTTATGATGCTGAGTGAGACATAATTCAATGGGAAGGTAATTATTTTAATAGAAACCTTTCATGCAAAATTATTACCATATGGCTTGAGATTTTAAGTATCAAGTGAGTAATTTTAGTATTTTTAGAATTTTAATGTTCTCTTGGTCATGTTTATTTATTTAATTTTCTTTCAAAACAAGCATTTTTTTTTCCTTACTATTTATGGTGCAGATCACATATGGCTGACTTTACTGGGCTTTCAAGCCAGGTACCAAACTAGTAAAGACCAAGGCATAGTAGGCAAATGTTGCCTTCGTTACAGAACTCCTGGGATTACTTTATGTGGAGATGATAGAAGCTTAGTTATAGTTATCAGTGTATATCTGTGGATGCTGAATGTTGATAGATTCAGTTGCTGTCTAAAAATAGGGAGAAATTCTGGTTGGTCTGCAATTTTTGATAACTATTGAACTGAGGAATGTTTGTGTAAAAGAAAGTATTTCAAACAAAACATCATTATTCCTGGGGATACATATTCTTTTAGTGTTGGGGAATGAAAAAAGAAAAACTTGGGAAACAAATTTGGCATAAAATTTATATAGTAATACTAGTAAATCAAGTGCATGATATAGAAGTGAAGTCTTAAATTTACAAAAACTAGCATTTCTGGCAATTTGTTCTGGAAAATACTGATTTTTTTTTATTAAATTCATCAAAGCCAAATTTGAGTAAAACTTCTGCTTTTGCCAGTTCACCTCAATTACTTTAGATCTATGTTTCATTTTAAATATGTTCTGTTTATATAATGGTTGGGTCTTTGAAACATGCTGAAAACAGGGAACTTAACTCCTCTCAGTCGACTGAGTCTTATCTTGAATATTTTGGGTGCTTTTTTCCCCCTTAATTTCCTTCAATGACTGATCCTCAGTGTTGTACCTTTGCCATTTAGATTACATTCCTAACAACACAATTGGTGGTGATATAAGAGCTTAATAATTACATGTTTTACACATCCTTAAGGAGTGACAAAGCTTTCAGGCAAACAAATGCACTGTTCATAATCTACTTGGCTTAGTTTTGGAAGTTGTTTGGTTCAGGGTCTTTGGCTTCTTTTGTATTATACTGTAGCACATATAATGGGTCAAGTCAAGTCCTAGCTGGCAAGTACTTTGTTTACCAGTATGTAAAGTTAAATTACTTAAACAGAACCTAAGCATAAAAGTTCCAACCTTTCTTAGATAAAAGCAGGTAAAGAGATAGTTGACATAGTGTTATTTTTTCTTCCTTAGAAAATATATTTTATTATTGTTTCCCATGTTTGCAGTCATGGGTGTAGCTGAATTCTCTGTGCTGCTAAAAACTGTTTTGTGAAGCTTTGCCACGTGCATGTGATTGTATGTATTTATCCCTGAGGAAACTGGATTTTCCCATATCCATAGCAGTGTTGTCAACCAGACAACTTATATCATATTGTCATATAATTTTCTTCTCCTTGTTCTTTCCCACCTTTTTTCATTTGTACATAGTCGGATATTATACACCAGAGTGTATTTGAATTGATTCACACAGAAGACAGACCTGAGTTTCAGCGACAGCTACACTGGGCATTAAATCCTGCCCAGTCAGCAGATTCTGGACCAAGTGTACAAGGTAAGAATGCAACCAATTTCTGTGTTTATCTGTCTGATTAGCTGGGGTTTTTTAATTTGTGTATGTAAAAAAGTTTAGATAACTTTATGTGAAGAAAGGAAGGAATAACATCTTTTAAACTTAGTAGAATTTTATTTAGGCAACAGTAAGAATTACTGTATTTTGCACTTTAAATAAACACTGCTATTCATAGCACAGCATCATAAAAATATTAATTATACTTTAAATTGGAAGATTTTAGTTTGGAGCATAAATGACAATGTCTTACATGTCTGATCAGTCTAAGAATGTGTTAGTGATGGTGTTAATATAGGGAACAGTGCATTCCTTGCCACATAGACCAGCACTTCTTTTGGCCATAAAAGGGGTAGAGGAATAAAAGATGAAATAGATGAGCCATTAAGATCAAATAGTATGCTTGTTAGAGCATTGGGTTGTCACGTTATTGGCTGATGCTTAAGTGACCTGCTATATTGAGAAAAAAACTAAGGGGAAAGACATTGCCTATATATCGGAACAAAGATGTGTAGGTACAGATAGTTACATGTAATACAGGAAGCATGTACCTACCTTATAATTACAATAACTGCTCTATTTTAATTCTCCATTTTACACAACTGCTAATGAAATATGTAGGTAAAATTCTCTGTTACTGTGACTTGATAATAGGTATTTTTTTTTTAATCTGTAAGAAGTCCATAGTGTTTTTAATAAATCTACCATTCATAAAGTAGCTTGATTTTAAACTCTTAGCAGTTTCATATTTAATATTTTAGAGTATGGAAAGACCATGATTTGATAGAGAAATTAAAAACAACAAATGTTGTGATGTTTGAAACCCAGCTCAGTATATTTCATTTTTTCATTTAGTGGTCAACATTGTTGTATCATCTATGGATCAGTCTAAACAGTCCTGCTGCATATGCTGCACAAGTAGTTAACAGTACAGTTTAGTATAGCAAACAGCTGCTGGCACTCAGAAACCAGATTTTTATGTGGTGACTTATTGTTTGCTTTAGAGTGAAATGGTGTTCTATAGTGCTTAAGCAAGTGCATATGAATTTATGAAAGGTTATGTTTAAAAAGTACAACACCAGGTTGAATTTACATCAGATTTGACTGAATCACTGAAAGTGCTGAGCAGGATTGCAATTGTTTGTTTCCTATCTTGTGTTTCTAGTTTACTAAAAGCTGCTAGTTATGCCCCATTTCTGAAAGTGTTCAAGGCCAAGTTGGATGGGGCTTTGAGCAACCTGGTCTAGTGGAACGTGTCCCTGCCCATGGCAGGGGGCTTTGATTAGGTGATCTCTGAAGTCCTTTCCAACCCAAACCATTCTGTGATTCTATGATGACTTTTGAGCCTTGGGTAGCATAAAAGGTTTGGATGTTGAGGATTTTTAAACTGAATTCAGATTTACAACAAAGGATAATGCTATGATCATGAGTGCTCTCCATTTTTGCTAAGTTAATTAATTTCCTTTTTAATACATTCATCTAGCATTATGTAGATATTTATAGATATACTATAATTGTTCTCAGGCTTCAGCACAGATTCCAGTCTGAGTCTGGGAACTAATACTGCTTCAGTTAGCCTGGACTGGTTATTTCTCACTCACTACTCTTGTATGCCCCTAAACCACTGGTTTCCTCAGCTGTTACTGTACTTCCCAGACAATCCTCCCAGTCCTGTCTTATTCCCAGAGAAGTTTGCAAAATCCTGATTTTTCAGTCCCCAATATCTGCTTTGGGGCCTTAAGTCTGGATTATCTTTTAAAGTTCACATGCTACACAACCATGTATGGTCTTGAGCTTAAAGACAAAGACTTAATGCACTGCATGTTCTGGGCATCGCTCCATGGTATTGATGAGATCCAGTGTGAGCTTCATGAGAGATATGGGTTCTAACCCCTGCAGTGTTAACTGGTAGTTTTGCTCTAGGGATTGCAGATGCTCTGTAAGATTCTTTGCCCTCTTACAGTGAGTCACTTCACCAAGGTCCTGGCAGTAAAGCATCTCTGCCTCCTACCTGCCTGAGAAAGTGCAGCATTATTCTTTTCTCAAATGTAGGAGGCTTGGGCTTGAAGCCCATTCCCTCATGTTTCAATTCCTCTTGTCTCAAGAGCTGCTTCTTCCACCAAAGCTTTGCTCACTCTTGGGAACTACCCATTTTACTATGAAAGTTGACAAACACTTCAGAGACCCCAGCTGAACCTGCTGAGCCTATAGATTTCAACTCTGTATTTACCAGAAGAATAACACTGAGTTTCTCCTGTGGCAGAAGTGCTGAAGAGCATACCAGCATACCAGGGCCAACGATGCCAGCAGAAGGACTTGCACTTCTTGTTGAGTGCTAGAGCTGCACTCAGTCAGAGTTGATATTTTTGAATTATAAGTTAGGATTTGCAAGCTGTTTCTTTGCTCTTTCTTCATAATCATTGCTTCTTCAGGGAGCATCCAACCTGTCTCAGATGTGTTGAAAATTCTCACCAGCATTTAGGGAATTAATAAAAAAAGAAAAAAAATCTGCAACAACAGAAAGTAAGGAAGTAAGTTTGCTTTGTTTGTTGAGAACCATTCATATGATGAGTGTGGGAATTTGTTATTTTATAGTATCAAAGTTAGCTGGTAATTATCTTGGACCACAAGGATCTGAGTTTCTGGTCCTGTGGGATTAGCTCATAATGGTGGCTTTGGCCAATGCACAGTTTTGCAGACGGCTGTAATTTCAGATTATCCCTTTTTGTACACACTATAACCTAGAGCCCTTTTTCTTTTTCTCAATATGTTGAAGTTTGTTCAGAAAAAATTGACCTTGCATAGCAGTTCTTTTAAGAAAAAAAAGGTATCTCCTGATTTTATCTGAAAAGCTGGATAACTCAACATTTTTTGTAGGATTTAGATGACCTTAGGTTGCAAGGCCTCTTGGTGAGCCATCAGCAATCTCATTTGGCTCCAGTTCTGACCCTTGAATTAATAGGAGAATAAATTGAACTGGCTTTTGGTAAGGATTTGTTTTCCTTTGGGTTTGGTTTGCCATTGTGCAAACCACTGAACCTATCTGTAAGTTTTTCCAGCTGTCCAAGAGACAAAATTATGTTCCAGAAAACATAATGTGGTGCGTTATGAAGTGATATGCTCTCTCCACCTCATCTCCAACTCTGGAAGGTCAATATGGGTTCTTAAAATCTGTACTATTCTTTTGTCCATACATGACAATCAGTTCTCTCAGAGTACATGGACTATTTTTTTAAATAACAGAGTATTTAACACTCTACGGTAGCATTTTAAACGGTTTTTACTTAATATTCTACATATATAAATTCCTAGGGAATTACCAGTTTGTGGGGGTTTATATTTGCTGTGAGTAGACATGCTCTGGTATTTCTGCGTATGTAGTCTCATGCAGACCATATGCGTTCTATCGGAAGTTTTTGATTTACCTTCTGTTTTTACTTTATATTCCAAATGTTTAAGTCTGTTTTCTAAATGCCACTTAGCAGCAAATGCTTTTCCTGAAGGGGTTAACTGTGTTGTTATCCTAGCTGACAGTCGTGATTTTTAGTATTTTTTAAAACAATCCACAAAACACAAGTACTCCAAGTACCTCTGGAGAGGTAACTAGGGTGTTTTGATCAGCAGAGCCCAGAAATATTTTCACTGTTTAGCAGAGTGCTTTCGCATCCATTAGAGAAAGTACCCACGTTTATTTATTGTGGTGGTTTCCTAAAGATGCTTATTTTTATTTATTGCTACAGCTTTCACCTGGCTATCTGAAAAGTAACCATTTGATCTCCTGCATTTTTGAATACCCAGTTCCTGTAGTTGCTACTACAGGGACCCTTTTTACAGACTCTACTGTTATAGGATACATGGATGTGCTCTCTGCTGAGAACTCTGCTCTCTGCAACTGATTCAGAATCTAGGTTGTTGACAAACATAATGAATAAATTAAAAACACAAACAACAAAAACCCCAAAGAAAAAATACTTAAAAATAAATTGTATGCAGTTTTCAAATACCACAACCTGTAAAACATAATCCCATCAGAAGAACTGATAACTAACCAGTGTTGCAATCATTATTGGTTCTGAGGATGTTTCCAGTTTACATTGTTCTTGCTCTGGTCATGACCTGATGCTTTGTTTATGAGACGGAAGATTGTTTGTTATAGATAGCCTTCACTAGGTGTTCTTCTAAAAATAATCCTTATAAATAATCCTTTCCTGCAGGAGATAATGGCTTTTCACAGCCAGCAACCTATTATAACCCAGACCAACTTCCTCCAGAGAATTCTTCCTTTATGGAAAGGAATTTCATCTGCAGGTTACGATGCCTCCTGGATAATTCATCTGGATTCCTGGTGAGTATAGAGTTACGTAAAAACTTCCACATACGCTTAAAAGTTGAACATCTGCATTATCCTAACAAGATGTACAGAAACTTATTTGCTAAGTCTCCAAAGATGTCTGAGCTACTTGAACCAGAATGTTTCAGCTAGTGACACTGAATATGTCTCCTTCAACATGTTGTCGCGACCAGGTGCAGGTTCTCTCATTTCTCATGGCTCAGTTTCCTCAGTGAAATGCAAATAAGCATCTGCTTTTGTAAAGTACTGTGTGATTTGCAGATAAAAAAGCATTACAAGATTATTTTCTGTTGGGTATCTTGAGATGCACTAAGTTATAGTAACTAACAGGACCATAGTTTTCCCTTATTATGCTCTTTTTAATTTTTTTTGTTAGTCAATTGTGTAGATTTTGGAACAAATATGTTATCATCCTCTTAGTGACTTTCTACAAATAGAATTGTTTGCCATTGCAAAATGAAATATATACATCTGCAAGATAAATGTTGTTATAATTATATGGATGTATAATGCCATGTTTTTTAGAATATTAGAAGCCCCAGCTGACACTTGCTGTTACATGTTTGGAGATTTTTTTACAGAACAACCTTTCATTAATTCCTTTTTGCGTTGATTAGTAGATCTTGAAGTGTCACACTCAGGAGTGTAACAACAGTATTCTATACTTGCTAGGTAACTTTTATGTGTGCCATGCTACAAAGTTTGAATCTGATGAACTTAGAAAAAATAAAAATATATGTTTTATTTCATAACAGAAATATCTTAGTCCTAAATATCTCCAACATATAACAATTACTTTTTTCTTTGTCCTAAGGCTATGAACTTTCAAGGACGGTTAAAGTTTCTCCATGGACAAAACAAGAAAGGGAAGGATGGTGCTACTTTGTCTCCTCAGCTTGCTCTGTTTGCAGTAGCTACTCCCCTTCAACCACCATCCATCCTTGAGATACGAACCAAAAACTTCATCTTCAGAACTAAACACAAACTGGATTTCACACCTACTGGCTGTGATGCAAAGTAGGTGTAAATTATTCTGCATAATAGTCTAATAATTTGCTGATGAGATAGGTTTCATGTATGAAATATAAAGCAGGCTACTCTTTCAGTATATATGCTGATTCAGTGATGATTGCTTAGAAACTGTTATGGTTTTTCTCTTCAGCCCTCTTAGTAAGTAAACAGAAATGGGATTGTCGTAGTCTACTTCCTTGAAATGGCCTACTGCTTTCTGACTTTCAGTTGTTTAAAAAACAGAACAGCACCACTGACTCCCTCAAAAAAAAAAAAACAAACCAAAAAAACCCAAACCCACCAAGACAAAACAAAAAGCAAAGAAGGCACAAACCCAACCCAAAATAAAAAGCCCAAAAGGCAGAATACTACTGAGTTAAGAAAAGTTTCCTATTTAAATCTGGTTTAAAATTTGGTTTTAGAACGGATAGAAAAAGTGTTTCATTTTATATCCTACATGCATATTTTCTCATTCAGTTCAAATAGATGTAAAATACAATGGAAATGTCATTTTCTTCAAAATAAACAAATTAAGTCCTTTATTATATTACTACTTTCCCAAAATCTTCGCTCGCGAAGACTGGCCATTATATATTATATTACTACTTTTACCCATTTGCAAACCATTCTTTTCCCTATGTGAGATTTAGAAACACTAGTGCATTACTAGATCAGAATAATGTAACAATGCATCAACATGGCAAGAATCCCAATAAGATGCTTCTTTATCAAAATAAAAGCCTCTGGCCTCCTTCCTTCCTTCGTTCTCCTTTCCCTCCTATTTTTGACTGATAATGCTTTGAGATTAATTTTCAGTGGAATCTCATATGGATTTCTATGCCTACTTGTAGAATAGAATCAAATTACTCAGTATTCTGTCTACTGTGAGACCAAAATGTTTTACTTGACTTCTGTAAACTGATACAAGTAAAAGTTAGCAAGATGTTAACACAGGCACCTCTTTCATCTGATTTTTTTCATTCACTTGAAACCTTCAATTTTTGTAACAGTTTTTACTCTTACATATATTGTTCCTCATCCCTACTTTTTCCTTTTTTTACCATCCTGTATTTGACTCTCCATTTCCTTGTTCCAAATCCTGTTTAAGTCTCTTTTTGACTATTTTATCATGTATTTTATCATAGAGATCACATGAATGCTGTTAAGTTTTTCATCTCCCTGACCTCTAGTAGAGTACTCTAATTTTAGCTACCAGGGTCAAACATGGCTCTTGACTTTATTCTTCTGAGGTGTATCTTGTTTAAATGCAAATGCAAGGGTCCCAAATCAGTAAAGTGGATACAGTTATGAGATACACCCTGTTTTGAACTTTAAGCTACTAAAAATACTGAGTTAGGCAAGAAGATTTAGATAGCTAAAGTTAAGCCCCTGCTTAATTCTACATGCAAGGACCTACAGGTAAATGCTATGAAATAGGGCTAAGAAAAGTGTCTTTCATTGTAACAAATGGGAGCTGCCTGCTAGAAGTGAATATGTTCAAAAGTATGGAATTGAGAGTCCAGATGTAGGCATCCACATTTTTTTTTTGTGATCTAACAGCTTTTGAAACCATTTCTAGTCATTGAAGGCAAGCTGGTAGACTAGTTAAGATTTTATGATTTGTTAACTGTATTTTTTATTACAGCTGCCCTGCTTCCACATACAATTGATATTGCAACAAAGTATAGTTAGCACTTGTGTCTGAAATGTTCTAGCCATAATTAACTTGCTTGGCATTTATTCTGTGACTTGGTTCATCAACAGCGTTGCAATTTTTTGTTTTTAACTTCCAGAGGAAAAATTGTCCTGGGATACACTGAAGCAGAGCTATGTATGAGAGGAACAGGATACCAGTTTATTCATGCAGCTGATATGCTTTATTGTGCTGAAAATCATATTCGAAGTAAGTTTTGTTCCCCAAGAAAGGCTGAAAAATCGAAGTATGGAGTATTTTCTCAGTATGAATGTAATATGAAGTACTGTTTAAAGAAAAAGTTAACAAAAAGAACACTGTTTATTTCATGTAATCTTTCCCTCCCTATAAAAACTTATAGTGGTTGAAGAAATATTTACTATTCCTGTCTAGACCCTTGTAGGATATATATTCCAGTCTCTGTCACATCTTGCTCTTCTCACTTCCTTCTCTGCTCAACCCAACTTCTGCTATTTCAACAACTTCCTTTGGGCAAGGAGACTATTTCAAAGATAGCTTTCCTGTTAGCAAGTTAAATGTTTTCTTTTGATACTGGTATAAGATTTTTACCAGAAATTAATCTGTGATTTAGCATGCTAGTATCCTACCCATTTCTGGTTTTGATTCTTGACAGCTTAATTTGCTTTAACTAACGTTTTATGGAGAGAAGTATGATGTTTTAAGCTAAGGAAATAGGTATCAACTATCTAATCTATAACTATTTAGTGGACTTTGGTTTTACTTTTTTGTTAGTTGTAACATATTTGTCTTTGGAATTTACAGAGTCATCTTCAGGACATTTTTGTGCTTCTTCTTTTCTACTGACTTCTCTTGAAAGTGTTTTTTTCTTTTGTCCCCTTATATAAAGTTGAATAGCTCCCTCAGTATGTTAGTTCTCAGCCTTTATTAAGCACATTTTCTTTTTCGGGTATAGCTCAGTCACTGTTGCCTGTCAGTGGTTTTGTTTCTTTCAAAAAGAATAAGGAAGAAATGGTTCCAGAATAGAATGGGATGAAACTTCAGAATGAATGGTTTGAAATTTTGTCTTAAAACTGGTTTTGCTCCACTTAGGATGCTAAGATTAAAAAAAGAGGTCTTGTATCCAAGATTATTTTTGGTTAGGATTCTTAAGCTTCTAATACTTTTTATTTAATTTTTCTATCTAGAAATACTTTTTTTTCAACAATATACAATGAAAATGTAATATGTTTATCAAGCATTGTTAGTGAGGTGGTAGCGTGAGTGAAAAATAGATTTTGAAGTACCTCTGCATTAACCAGTCAAAATGTGAAAGTACTGGATTCAGAACGAATGTGTTTTCTAACTGCTTAAGTAATAGTCACTTTTTGGAAACAGGAGAGTCTTAGGCTTTTGTCACTTACAAGTTCTAATATTTATTAATTTCTGTTATTGAAGAAATAAAGGATGAAGCTCAATACGGAATGCTGCCAGTCTGTAGTGGATATCCTACAATTGCTTGGACTTTTGACTTTTATTTTACCAGTAAATTAGACCTCTTAAAGTGATCAATCATCCTGTTTCACTGGAAATGCATTAGTGCCACACAGAACTGGGTGATTGAGGACATGAGATTAGTAAAATTGCTACATAGATGGGATTGCTTTCATGACTGTCATAGAGATTTTCGTGGTTTTGTTTGCTGGACAGTAAACAGTATGCTTACTCTTTAACTCTAGTGATGAAGACAGGTGAGAGTGGAATGACTGTATTTAGGCTTCTAACCAAAGAAAATCGATGGGCCTGGGTACAGGCAAATGCTCGTCTTGTCTACAAAAATGGAAGACCAGATTACATCATTGCCACGCAAAGACCTCTTACGTAAGTCACTACTGCATGAAGTAGTATACTTCGAAAACTGAAACCTTTTGAAGCTGTTTATGTTCAGAAAGGATTTCTTTGTTTTTAATAAACACCCTTTAGATTCTGAATTCCAAAAAGAAAACCTTTAAATTTGCTAACAAACACTTAAAAAAATTCTGATATTTCAGTACTTATGTGGCATAGTCGTTTTTGAGTAAAACTTTAGACATTGATTTCATGTAGAGAGTAAGGGCAGTGGTACAAGGACAAAGTTATTCCATCCACCCTATTTTTAATTCGGTATCTTCATTAGCAAAAATTGAGAAATACAACTGCAGTTGGATTTCACCAACAAATAATATAAAGAAATTCAGTCCTTTATGGTGTTGAACTGACTTCTTATTAATATAGAATTCAGCGTTTTCATACAGGTTAAATAATTTTGCTAAGGACTCTGTAAAAATGGAGAAAAAGAGATACTTCAAGTATTCATTTACTTGCTACACCAGGAAAAGCATAATGCATGGAACAAAGCCCATTTATTTTTATTTCAGCCCATAATGCACAGAAAATGGTGTATGCTATCTAGATTTAATTAGAAATGTAATATGTAAATGTGGTATTACAGTTATAAGCTCCTTATTTCATAATCTGCCTGTTGGTTTAACTCAGGCAAGTTGAGCTGGAATAGGCAGGAATTTGAAAAATGCCTACAAATAGAATAGTTCAGGTTTTTTATATTAATTCCAGAGGACAAAAAGATTACGGTAACTGTTTAGTAGTGCAGTATTATAGCACATATCTGATTTATTTTCAGAGATGAAGAAGGGGCAGAACATCTACGGAAGCGTAACATGAAGTTGCCCTTCATGTTTGCCACTGGTGAGGCTGTGTTATATGAGGTATCTTTCCCTATGTCAAGCCTTATGGATCCCTCTCAGACGAAGAGTAAAAGCACAGCAGGAAAAGGAGCCAAAGCAACGCTACACAATGATTCCGTTGATCCAAACTCCCTCCTAGGTGTCATGTTAAGGCAAGATGAGTCTGTTTATCTCTGCCCTCCAGCATCACATAAACTTTCCTTTGAGCGGAACTTCTTTGCGGACAGTAGGGATGAACTGGGCGGTGTTGTTAGCAGTGGTTGGACAGATAATCTCCTACCTGCTGGAAGTCACAACATTCTCAAACGGGAGCTGATGGAGTGTTCCCAGGACAGTACTGTTGAACTGCCTGAAGACAGTGCAGCACTCTTTCAGGATAACAAAACCAGTGATTTGTACAGCATCATGAAAAATCTGGGTATTGACTTTGAAGATCTAAAGTGTATTCAGCAGGATGAGGAGTTCTTTAAAACTGAATTATCTGATGTGGATGACATTGGGGACATCAACATAACTGATGAAATCCTGACTTATGTTCAGGATTCCTTAAATAAATCTGACTTTTTATATTCAGAGTGTAACCAGCAGCAGCCATTGGTCCAGAATGAAGGCTGCTTGGTACAGCAAGACTTAGATCCACATCAACTTCATCATCAGCAGAAACAGCTCATGGAGCAGCAGCAACAACAGCAACAACAGCAGCAGCTCTGTCAAAAGATGAAACATATGCAAGTCAATGGGATGTTCACAAATTGGAGCTCTGGCATCAGCATGCCTCTTGGTTGCTCTCAACAGCAGCAGCCCCAGCAATACATGTTCCCTGGCATGCATGCCACTACATCTGAGTTCTCTTACAAATCAGAAGTGAACACTTCTCCTTATGAGTGTAGGCAAGACTTTATTCCTTACAAGCAACCCACAGCAATGGTGCCACAGCTTTCTAATTTTGCTCAAATGGATTTCCCTGCATCAGCTTTTGACAGATCGACCTATTCCGCTTCTTCCAACTTTGAGGATTTTCTCAGTTGTTTGCAGCAAGTCCCTGAAAATCTTGAGTGTGGGATAAACTCTGAGTCGGTTATGCTAACTCCTCAAACATGCTATGCAGGCGCTGTTTCTATGTACCAGTGCACGCAGGAGGCACAGCCCAGCTGCGTGGATCAAATGCAGTATGATCCTATGATGACAAATCAACAACAACAAACATTGGTGAACAAGGTATGGTAAACAGCCTTACTGCATTGCTTGCATTTTGAATCGAGTTTATATTGTTTTGGGTGGCTAATAGGGTGCAGAGTTTGTCATTAATGAATTGCTGAGTTTGAGACAGATGGGTTAGCAGTGTGTGAATGTCTTTGCTTTATTTGTTCATTATATTGGAGAGTTGCATTTGGTCAAGTTTATATGTATGTGTATCTGCAGCCTGATAGCTCTCGTTGGCCATATTAATCAAGAGTGAGTGAACTGGTCTGTTGTACCTACCAGTAATTTTCCTGGTAGGAGCAAAACAAAAGTAGATTGATCAAAAGCTTGGAATTTGTTTATACACCTTTTTTAGAGGAGTGATGTCAGTAATATTGCTTGGCACACTGATTTTCATTAAATATGTTGTAAGTATGAAAAAAAATCTTGTTTTTGAAGTGTTAGTATTCTCTAGCTACTCAGGTTCCTCAATGATTTTAGGATTATTGAAAGTATTAGATTATAATGTATGAATGTCATGAAATATGAACTATTGTACTCCTGCACACAATATTACTGAAAAAAAAAATTATATATTGCTTTCAGTGAAAGTCAGCTAGTTCCTCAAGCTGCTGTCTAAATTATCTGCTGAAGACAAGAGAGTAGGAAAAAGTTATATTTGCATTAAGTTAGACCTTTTTCACAAAGGAGAATGCACAATAAAAGCTTTAGAAGAGAGCACCCTGGCAGTAGCATACACTACAGTTTTAAGTACAGTACTTCATAGGTAAAATTAACTTGAAAATAAAAAAATAATTACAAATTCCTGATACTGAATAACCTTTGTTGAAGTACTTTCAATTGTACCATTTATTTCTGTTAATGCTGCTCAAGTACAGAGCGACAATTCTTTGTTTTTCCTTCCTCAATGAGTTAATGTTCTGAAGTACTGATCCTGCAAATGCTTATGCACATGCATAAGCATTTACTGAATTAAAGTATTAATTGGCATTTAACCTGTGCAAGGCAAAGGTGAGGAATGCAATTAGAACATATCCAGGTTTTTGATATGCTTAATACAAGTACAAAACATACCCTTTGAAAACTGCTTCGCTACTGGAAAAAAATATAATTGCAGAATTGCAAAAATTTACCTAAAATATAGAATAGTTCAGCAAGATGAATAGCTTCTTGAGTGCCCAAGGGCTGAAATAGCATGAAGTGACTTTGACGAACTGCAGTGTGTGAACTTGAGCACTGCTTGGCTGTATGTTGCCTGGCTGTATCAGTGTTATTAGTCTTTCGTAGTGCTTGATAATAGGATTGCAGAGCAGTTCCAGGGTCATCCAAGTTTGCCTGTATAACAACAAAGAATTGCTCTTTTCACAAAAGCTATACCGGTGTGATGCATCAGTTTTGAACAACCAGTGCATTCACAATTCCATTTCTCATTTCTTTATTTTTAATATTTGGTTTCAATTACATTCATTTTGCAGATTATTTTGTTGTTACACTACCTTAATCATATCCCCTTTTTGTTATTTTCTTCCTTACATTTTCTTCACATCTACCTGTAAAAAGTTTAATGACTAAGACAGCACCTCTGAAAAAGATATTGTCTATTGCTTCATATTTACAAGAATGCTGTGCTGCAATAACAATATTGCATTTAGTTTGTTGTCGTAAAAAATGAACAAAGGCCACTTTGTGAAAAATTATCTTTATTTAAGTTGTCCAGAGGCAAATTCAACCCTTTTTGTTAGGGTATTCCTGTGCTTTGTGGGGCTGTGTAGCACTGCATAAGCAGAAGCCTCATGCGACTAAGCAGATAGGATACTGCTGTCTGAGCCTGTGTTCACACAGCCAAACCAAAGTAGGACAGTCTTTGTGGCTGGATTTAGCACACTGACATCCCTGTCAGTGGTTAGAGTCTAGAGAGAGGACAGATGTTGCTGCACAAGCCATGATTGCTATCCTTTCCTCAGACTTCTAACTCCCATTGATTTCTACATGAAAAGACTAGAGGATTAGAAAGGCAGAAGGGTCTGTTGTGGTCATCTGCCTTCTGCCTAACTTGTAATTGTGGTCGGATCATATCCAATGTAGTCTAAAATCATTTTCAGTGATGGATGTGGACAGAAAGGCCTAGTTTGGCTGCTTGTTTGGGGTCAGTATTCCTTTATTAAACAGTACTAGTACTTCTTAAGTACTAGATTCTGTGTCAAGAATGTTCTTAAAACTTTAAATGAGCATGGTCATCTTGTTGAAGAATATTGAAGTAATCTGCTTCTGTCAAAAGTAATCCTAAGGTATGCTTTCGTAGCTGTCTTTAAAAGTATGTCAACTTTGATTAAAAACTTAATTCACATGGCTATAGTCTTGTTGTTAAAAACTTAGCAGAACTGTGCACAGTTAGTCACATTTCAATGCTTATGTTGAAGGAAAAAAAGAACCAAAACCCAGCATATTTTGATAGATAAATGAATGAATGAATCTGTAAGACATGTTTTCAAGGACAAATCTTGAATGAATGAGTACTTAACATATAAGCTACTCTTGAAGAGATGATGGAAATGTTTAAAATACTTTGTTGTATTTTCTTTGCATTTGTCTTTTCTTTTACTGAAGGGAGTATTTTGTAGATAAAGTGACTTTTCCATAGCATGACAGGAAGCATTACATCAGTTGATTAAAATAATCCTATGAACAATTATGTTAAAACTGATGAAAGCCATTCATTGCTCTTACTTGGCATTGTCAATATGAAGACCCTTTGTCAAAAAAGCCCACCCTGCAATAGTTCAGCCAGTGGATTGAACACAGTGCACTTCAGCTTACCAATAGGAGTGCATGTGCATTCCTGGAAGAGCTGTAAAATCTGGATGCCATTGCAGACATGGTGTAAATAGGTTGCTTTTAAAATGTAACAGCTGAATGTGGCAGTTAGGAGTGCTCAGTCAGACTGTACTTGCTAGAAATGGAAATTATATTATGCTTTAGATAACAGAATTGTTTCTTTACTTAGCAAGAAGTAGGGCTTCCGCTGACTTCAGCATGGGTAAGTTTTCATGATGATTCAGTCCCTGCTTTAATGCAAATTAACTTCTCATTCATCATTTAAAAAAAGAGTTTTACAGCTAATCAATGTATTTTAAGATTATTTCATCCACTATGTGTCTTTAAGAGGACTTCTAAATACTTATAAATAAATTGGTTTCCCACACTAACCATTTATATGCTCTTTTTTCTCCTGCCAGTTCCCAAACAGTTTCAATGGAGGAAACGTAAATGAATCCTATCCCTCTCAGTTAGATGTGATCAGTAATGCACAGACTGCCACACATCTTCAGCCTCATCATCATCCGAAAGAACCCAGATCCTTCTCAGATTTGGCATCTAGTGGATTTATGTGATTCAGATCTAGAGCTCCATCTGTGATTTTGTCTGGGCATCAGGCTGCTCTGAGGAAAAGCTTGATAAGTCTCTCTTTGAGCATCAGACTTTAACAGCTAAATTACATTTGGAGAATATGAGGTTGGTTGCACTATATACTGGTGGATATGTAATCTAAGACCTGGGTTTTTAGTGTGACAGGTGGAATTAAACTTCTGACTAAAAGTATGCATGTGCTGTTTTCCATCAGATTGACTGTGTCATTGCAGTATGGATTACATATGTACTACAGAGTATGTCATGCTATACAACATAAGATAAGGCAAATGGTTTTGTTGTTTAGAAAATAATTGGGCACTTTACAAATAGCATCGATGGCACAAGGAAGATGATTTCACACGTGGATTATTTCCAAACTTTATTTTTTAAAATCTATTAAAAAGCTCTAAATTCATAAGAATCAAAAGCACTTCATTTTAATGCATACTAAGCTCTTTAATCACTTATTTTGTATTTAAATCCTTTTGTTTTAAGTCTCCATTTCTAGCACTTTAATAGAAGGCTTAATACAAGGATATGATATGCAACTTCAGGTTTTCTATGAAACAGACCCCTTGCATTCCTCCTTTTCATGTCAACCTTAAGTGCCTCACAATTTAGCTACCTTGTTTCTGATGGGAGGTTATTTTAGCAAAACTCACTATAAATGTCATCCGTAGTCTGTGAACTTTTAGCTAACATCTACAGTGCTACTGGCTGTATCTTTTTTCTTTCCCTCTAACGATAATTTGTTTAGAGAGTGACTTAACTCTTTATCTGTGGATTTGTTACACTATTATCAGGAGTTGTTGATGTTCTGAATTTAGTTCAGCTAAAGAGTTTGGGTTTATTCTATACTGCTTTTCTGCTTTCTTCAGGTAATACAGGGTATATTAAAAAAGCAGATTTTGCTGAGGGGGAGGAGCAGATCCTCAGGATTAGTTTTAGATTATTAATGCTGAAAAACATGTGCCTTATCTTGTGTTAAAACGCTCATAATGTTCTTTAGAAATAATACAAGGCTGCTCTATGCAAATATTTTCATTAAAATGGATATTGAAAAGGATTACATTTTCAATGTTACTAGTGGGGAAAGAGTCAGTTTTGGTTTAAACTTTATCTCTGGCAAATTGCACTGCAAGAGGTTATTCTTTTTTGTGTATGTTGATCCATTTGAAAAACTTTGTCCAAAAATATGAAATTGGGGAAAGAAAAGTCAAATTCTACTTCTAATATGTTTTATTTTCAGGAAAGAAAAAACCTAAACACATTCACTAAACATTCTGAGGTTTTGTTTTGCTTTTGTCTGAGAGGATTGTTAAATTGCTGACACCAATGTTTGGTGCAAAATAATAATCTACGTGAAAAATACAGAAGTGTGTATATGTTCAAAATATTTCATACTCTTGTGTGTTGTATAGTTCATATATAATAAAATGTCTTTGTAAAATATTTTAAACAGTTAATTTTAAAGTGTTACATCACCATATGTTAAGAACAATTGTATTACATTTGTTATATGTAATATAAAACGGCAATTTAGCCAGTTTGTGACTCTCTCCAGACAGTTGTTAATATTGTTTAATAAAGGACAATCACATAAAACTGGAATTCTTTCATAGCTGAAACATGCTCCTTTGAAGAAGAGCATATTTTCTTCCATTCTGTGTGATATGATATGCTAGGCCAAACTTCTAACTCAGTTACAAATGTTCAGATTAATAACTTCAGCACTTCTTTTAAGTAAAATTACCATATATGAAAGGGACATTAAGGAAGCAATTACTATTCAGGAAAAGCCCGTAAAGACATTGTGGGTTGTATTACGAGGTTGCTTTTTTCTTTTAAAGTTTCAGAATTTGTTTTCAGCACAAATTACATCAGTAACAGATTTACTTAGTATCATTTGAATTAATTTTTTATTCTGTAATTTTTTTTTGAAGGTCTTGTTTTAAGCCAATATCTGAAACGTCTTCCATATCTAGCTAGTGTATCATGTTGGCATTTGAACTTGAAAATTAGAATAATGCTGTAAAACTGGAAGGTTCAAAGGGATAATGTATGTTTTCCATCTTACAAAACCAGTATATATCCTGTTTATGAATTTAGTTAAACCAAATACGTGTTGTCCTATCACTAAGTGCCAAGGATGCAGTACTAAAACTGTGCTGCTCTACTTAATGTAAACAAATTAGTTGTTTATATGCATATCAGCGTATTTTGTGCATTATCTTAAGCGTAAAACGTTGACTGTATTAGTGCACTCTTGATCTGCACCAAACTGTACCTACAGTGCACAGGTGTTTCTGAATTGGATCTCTATTAGCCCTTCAGGTCTGTTATAAGTAAGATTTATAACCCAGTGCTAGTCAGTATTACTGTCCATTTTTGTACAAGTTTTCTTACCTTGTTTTTCTTTCCAGTTCTTATCTCTCCTTTGCTATGCCTGCACATACCATGCAATACACCTCTTGCATTAACGTATGGTTCTGTAGCGCTCTTGCTCATCTCCACTGAAGTTTGTAAGACATAATACATGGTAATAAAATAATCACTTGAATGTAGCTGAAATGTATGTTCTTTTACTGCAAAAATGTTTGATTTCAGCAGTATACAACAAAAGTACATTATCATACTGTTACTACTATCTTTTGAGAGCTTGTCATCTAATAGTTTACAAAACTCGTTATTTACGTCACTGTGGACTTTGCACTTCTCTGAATATTAGATGCAAATACAATGTATATAATTTAGAGTGGTGAACAAATGTGTATTTGTCCATGGAATTAGTATTTTATACTTGCATGAAAATGAGTTTATAAATAAAGTTTGTAAATAGTAAACCACAGTTAGTAGTTGGAAGGCTCTTATATTCATTGCTTAGTCACAGTAAATTCACAGTTGAACAGTTTTGAGGTAGGAATGATTTCTGCATAGATGCTGCTAGAAAGAAGCATGTTCTCTTTTGTGATCTGTAGCTGGCGATTAGTAACCTGTTCACTGTTTACTGCCCGTTCATAAATAGTGTCTTTAAGTTAAGGAAACAATTCTTTTTGTTTCTTTCTATTTACTAATATTGCTGTTTTCTGTGTGCTACATTGTCTTTGCATGATAACATTTTAAAATCAAGTGTAATGCTGAAGCAAATGTTTCACTGTAACCCCCCACGCAGTTTACCAGATTTGATGAGAAGATGAATTTAATTGGTTTCAACTACACTATTGTCTTGTAATGCGTTGACACGTCTTATCCAGAATCCGTACTAGGCTGTGAACTCTGTATGTCAGTCCTGTGGCTTACTGTTCTTGCATAGTACAAAAAGACATACCAAGATACTGGAATAATTCAACAAGACTTCAAATCTATTAAGTAACATCTGGAAATAATCAAGCAATAATATAAGCAACACTGGTCATACTTTTTTTGTAGTCTGTTGCATTTGTTAAAAGTTTCAAGACACACATCAGCCTATTCCCAGAAGCATAGGACCTCACTGTCCAGTTTTGTTTGAAGGAGAGAGATGCTTTCTTCTGGAGAAATCCATTTTCTTTATGATTAATGAAGTTTGGTTCTATTTCTAATTCAACATGAAAGTTAACGACCATGGTGGTCCCTAACCTGCAGTAGGCCACTGCATCAAAAGCTCAGTGATGTTGGTAGAGTCAGGCAGTTTGTTGGTAGAAGTCATCAATTTACTCAAGGCTCTGTCAGAGGGAAGCTTTCCCAAATAGTTCTTTTGAGCTATTTGAAAAGATTTTGAAGCTTTGGAAAACTTTTGAAGATTTTCCTAATGAGCAACTATTTTTTTCCATTCACACACTTAATCTGAGAGCTACTTTATTTTCAGGTGATTTTGTTCATCTGAGAACTAGCTTAGTAAGTTAGGTTAAAGGTTTTGTCTGGAGTAAGAGCCTGATTCCACTTTTAATATTTTTATTCTTTCATTGATGAATTTGACAAATTATCCTCCTACCTTTTTCCCTCTCTGCCTAAGCATCCTTCTCTATAGCTGACACTTGTAGTCCTAAATAAGTAATAATAGACCAAAACAGCTTTAGGCATCTAGAATAAATGTTGACATCTAAAACTAATACTGAAATTCCACCCAGTGTACACTTTACAAAATCTGAACATATAATGAGTTCTACCATGGGGCACTGTTTGGTTTCCCCTATTTCATTTTCATTCTTTCCAGGGACCAATACTCACTTTGATTACTTACCAGGGATTCTGAGCCAGCTCTATAGAGAAACATCCGTTCTTCCACTTTAGCAAACTCTTTTAAGTTTGTCTTCCTGACAGGTAAAGAAGAGCCATAATAGTAAGCCATCAACATCTAAGTGAATAATTTTTAAAGACTCAACTGCGTATGTGAAATCGAAAATGTGATCAGTCAATGGGATAATGGAGTTTCTTCTCCATAACCTGACCTTTCTATCCAATGTCCAGCAGACAAGGTTATTAGCATTAAATAAAGCTATATACACTTTAGTTTCCAAAGCAGACAGTCTTTGAGAAAGAGTTCCTCGACCCTAAATATTTTTATGATTTATGCTAAAGCCAACAGGCTCTTATCTTCTCTTGAATCCAGCCTGGATGTAAATAAAATTATGAACAACATTCAGGAATTAATAACTTCAGCAGATATTTTAACACTGTTTTGAAGGTTATGTATGATCATAATTGTCTGGATGTGCCCAGGGCAGTCTATGACCCAGCAATTAGACACTTGTTCAGCTCTTCATCAGCATCTTTTTATTCTCTAGAGGGTAAATGTAATCCATTTTGGATGGAGGTTTAAATCTAAAAGCCCACAAATGAAACAAAACAGTGTGACTTTCATACTTGGTTTTACATCTGCAGTAGATGGAGAATCTCTGCAGCTGAAATATGCTATAAATGGCCTATCAGAGAGTTTATTCCTTTTGATTTTAGCTGTCCATGCTGCTATATAGGTTTTTAAAGCACATATTTTCCAAGTTCTCATCAACATTATAATCATGGGTGTCTCTGAGACCTTTTTCTACAAAGCTGCAAGTTGCACTTCCAAGTTATAAATAGAACTGTGGAGTAAGAGCAGAATGACTTTCTACTTATAGAGCTTCAAATACAATGCCAAGAGCTGGTAGCAGTTCACAGTAGTGCCAATCACGAAAAATAAAACAGTCCTTTGCTTGCAGAAGTCCCTAAAGTTAGTGGACAAAATGGTATAGCATTTGTGAGTCCATGGTGTGTGGTGGTAGCATCGCTGCGTAACATGCACATGCATGCACACAAAGCAGCCTGTGATCATGAAGACACATGATAAGTGCCAAAGAATGTTCTAATTATACTGGCGTCTAATCAAACCTTAAAAGGATAATAAGAGGCTGTGATGCCTCATTCAGTATAAAGAAGGATCTGCGTTCAACTTCAGACCTAGACTTATTATCAGTATGTAAACTTTTATGTACTTAGCTTTATGGCTCAAATCTATTTTCAGTCCCTCAATAGTTCTTAACAAAATAAATAAAAGGAAATTCTCAGGCAAAAAAAAAAATTGCTAACTTTGTATTAAAATTTTAATATTACAAAGTAAAATAAAAATCACGGGATCTTCAGACCAAGAATATTATTGTTAAGCAGAAAAAAATGTGGAAATGATCAGTTTAAAGAATGTAGATAAACCTCATCAACATGTTTCTGAGCTCTTGCTTCTCCCCTCAAATACAGCTGTATGAAGTCACACTCATCAAGTTTGTTTCATTCCCTCCTTGTTTTGCAGACATCTAAAACCAGCATTTAAAATCTTTCTTGCTACACATGAAAAAGATACAGATTTTCTGACTCAGCTGTGACTTCAAAACTTATGAAAGTTCAAAGTGCTTTGAAGTCAGCATGCCCATTGCTCTCTAATGCTAGAATCTGGACAAAAGTGAAACATGTGGCAAAATATCCAGAGTTGAGTGGATGTACCATTGGAACATTTTTCATTGCTTTTATTTATTTTTGGAACTAAGATATTTGTATATTAATGGAAACACTTGCCTGCGCACTCTCAGGGGTCCTATAAACCTTACACAGAACCTGCTCCAATAGATATTAGTACAAGAAGATCAATTTAAGCTTAAGGTTTAGATATTACCAATGTTGTTTGTAGCCTCTGCTGCTTCTGAATGAGCACAACTGTGTAGCTTCTGCAGAAGGGCCATAATACGAAAGTCTCTTCAAATC